TATTTCTAACGTACACCCGTACTTGTGTGCAATTGTAAACAAGAGAATTGCAATATGGATGTTTTCTTTGTATTATAAAACTTTTCCGCTATTAATGAAGAAATTACTGTTTAATTGACATACTCAGGATAACAGAGGATTATGGTGTGTAATGGTCAAGGATCCTGTGATGCTTTACGCAGCAATTTGGAATCAAATCAAACTTTTTATCATGATCAAAGTTGTTTCAAGCACTCATTTCATCTTTGTCAAACAGCTGCTAAGACATAGCATACAAGATTGAATGGTCTTTTAGAGATATACCAGGTGTTCTGCAAACTCTGCAAATACCAGAATGTTTCAAAAATGTTTTATAGAGGTGTCTAATTTCTTGTAGCTCAGCATAAATATTCTCATTTTGTCTGATTCAGTTAAATAATGAATAGTTTGATGAAATATTTCCATGCTTCAGTAGAAAATCCTACCTGTTATTCAGCTTGTTCTAAAAATTGCAACCGATTTATTTGGGCTGTTCTTACAGTACAATTAAGTTCATGTTCTGAGGGATGTGGAAAGAAAGAAAGGCTGTAGGTTTTGTCTTTTTTAATTTATCAGATATTTGAATAACACTTCAGCATGATACCGTTGATCGATAACCACTAGAGCTACTACTGCCCAGCTACTGTGGCAGCGTTCAAACTGTAGTTAGGACTACCAGTTTTTCCACAGTTTTATACCAGTAGTGAAGTTCAACAGCACAATGTCCCATTCCAAAGTTTTTATGACGAATGTAAATAATTGGCATTTTTGAAAGAGGAAACAAAAGGTGTCTTAAGGTGCTTACTGCTATGCAGGAGATGAAAGGGGGCATTACAAAGTGTTTAAGCTTGTGATATATTTATTGCTTGTTTTCCAAAAGCACCAAGCTAATTAGAGATGCAAATGGCTATAATTTTCCTGGCTTTGCTTAGGAGAGAATTTACTAAGGGTTGGACAGGCTTCCTTTGTTTGTTTTTGTTTTGTTTTGTTTTTTTTAAGAGTATAAGGTTTACACAATCATTCTCATAATGTGACGCAAGCCAGCAAGGCCAAAAATGTTACAGAATATAATGGGATCTCTTCCTTGTAAACTTGTACAGTATGTGGTAACTTTTTCAAAATACAGCTTTTTGTACATGGTTTAGAGACAAATTTTGTACATGAAACCCCAAGTCCAATAGACTATATAAATAATTCTAAATGATCTTAACTAGTTAGAAGTGTGTGTAGTTGCTTTTAAGTCATTTTAAATACCTATGTTTTAAGACTGTGCAAAGATTGGAAGTGGGTTTGCATTTCTAAAATGGTGACTTTTATTCAGCAAGAGTTCTTAGTAACTTCTTGAGTGTGGTAGACTTTGGAACATGTAAATTTTTTGCCTGTAATGTTATCCTGTGGTAGGATTTTGGCAGACAAATGCTGCCGTATTTTAGTTTCAGTCTAAGTTAAATGTTTTCTGAAAACAGAAATGTGCACTGAACTCTCCACTGCAAGTCAAGATGTGGTAAAACCGAAAGAAAGTTCAAGACGATGAAATGGAATACTACTGTCAATTTCATGTCCACTGTGTTTTATACAGTATCTTTTTTGTTCACTTTGGAAATTTTTACTAAAAATGCAAAAAATAAAGTATTGTGCAAAGATATGTAAGGTTTTTTGAAACTTGAAATGCATTAATAAATAGACTTGATGAAATCATCTTCTGAAGATCCATTTACTTTCTGAACCCTGAAATCAAAAAGGAATACAGATTCTATCTCTATTTAAGTTTTGGTTTTTCATGGAAAGGGGCTGTCATGCCAAAAAGTAACTGGATAGTCTTTACAATATCCAAGTGCACCTCCCAAATTTAATATGTAGGAGTGGATGGTTTTGTGTAACCTTTTTAAGGAAAAGCCGTAAAATTACCTTTCAGTTACTTGTATGATTGCAGAACAAAAGCTTTCTCTGTTTTTACCTTCAAAATGGAAACTGGTCACTAGTGAGGTATTCAGGCCTGGCTGCGTTACTACTGAATGATAGCTTCTGAAATAAATAGATGTTTTTGCAGAGGAATACTGGAGTAAACACATAATGCTCTGAATGCACAACTGATGGGTAACACTTTTAGAAGTGAATTAGCTTTTTGCAAAGTGCTTTAAAACTGGTAAGCTGGGTCTCTGTTTGTTGGGTGTGTTGTTGATTTCATGAATAAGGCTGCTTTTTAAAGTCAAGTCCTGCCAGCTAGGCTCATTCTTAGGGCTGTTTGTTGAGAATGGCCTCCTTAGACATCTGTTTCCCTAACTGAGCAGCATACACTTTGATGTAATCAAAGCACATGCAGAGTTCCTTCCTCACAGTACCTTCTGATTTTTTCCCATGGCTGTTTTTTTTTATATCAAAGTGCTTCCCCTTGTAGCTAGATAGCACTGTCAGGGGCAAAGGTATTAGAAGAAAACCAGTTGGAGCAGAGCCCTTCTGCAAATCAGCATCATAGGTGCGTAATAGGTTCGGTGGTGGTTACAGTTACATTTCTATCTAGGAACGCAAACCAGAGGGGTAGAAATAATGCCCAGACATCTAAAATATGCATTTTGTGTCTATCTTAAAATGTGTTTGGGGAAATAAAGGTGTACATAAATAGCTGTGATTATTAGGTCAAATATTAGTTAGAAAAATTACTAGTTGTAGCTATTTGTTTATTCCTGTTGTATTTCTTAATGCTTTAGTTATTAAATATATACATTCACCTTTGATGTAGAAGCATGTATAGTCAGAATGGTGTGGGTGTGAGAAGGGCATCAAACTCCTCTTAAGCTATGAAACTGACTCTGTCAGTGACTCACTGATACAGCTTGCCTTTAATGTTCCAGTATTTGGGAAAAGCACACAAAAACGTAAGAAGGAATTTTTACTTCTGAATATGGAAGTCCTTTATGACAGAGAGGTGATGCAAAGAACAGCGTTCATTGTGTCATTCTAAGCTGTGCTTGCTCTGACAGGAGCAGGTTCCTGATGGCTTTCAAGGTCTCAACTCAGTTGTTTGGAGTGGCACAGGAGCAATTCCAATGAGCACAAATTAAGGCATCACTATAGGCACTTGCAATTGTACATGTAACTACAGTCTTACGTGCAGGCATTGTAAGATTGACTATGCAACAACTTGGGCTTTATTTAATTTTTATATCAGAAGTCAGTGTAATGGCTGTCAAAACACAGGGACAGGATTTATTTGGACATATTTCTACAGAAGATATCAGAATATCTTCATATCTGCAAGAGATCAAACACGGAATGGTCTTTTAATTTTCCTATTTGATTTCTGGAAGTTTTCAAGTTGCTTTATTTGGGGATATACCAGTCAGTTGAACTGGAGAACAATTCTTCTCACCCAGCCTCCCCCCCACCTCAAAATCTTCAGAAGCCCTCAAACTGCAGTATCCCATTCCCTGAGTTTCAGCACCCTGTAGATACCTCTTTTTTTTTTCACCTGCTTTTCCTGATCTAGTGCTTGCAAGCTTGCTTCTCCTGAAGTTTAGATCCCTTTATCAGCCTTTTCACCACAGAAGAGATACTAAGGTGAAAGAAATGCCAATTTAATGTCTAAAATGTTAAGTGTGTTAGGATGTGTAACTAGAGGAAAAGCATGACTCGAAAGGCTCTTTGAATGTTTTACATTATACAAATCTCATTAAAAGCTGTCTTGCCAACTCTTGTGCTCTTTTTCTTTCAGGTATAGTGAAGCACTAACATTTTTTTCTGCACTGGAGGAGCACAGTCCAGTTCTTTCTAGCCTTTGTCTCTTGCTCTGTCATCTTTCAGGATCTTCTGACAAAGCCCATTGAAGAGCAGGGTAGGATGTGGTTCTGAAAGCTTGCAGAGTTCATAGCTTAATGAATGGCATAGATAAAATTCACGTGGCGGTGTTTCAGTTCTATAAATAGACATATCTTTTATAAACAACCCAACCTGTAACATGAGAAGTAAGAGTGGCAGATCTAGCTTCTTCTAAAAGCAAAAACTGAATTCTAGAAACAGTGTAGGGAGATGCATAATTTGAGTTAGCCACGTGCATGCTTTTCAGTCTCGTTTTTCGTTGTGCTTTCAACACTAAACCGGCCACATCATTGTTTGTTCCTTCTCTGTCATTCTTCAGGACGCAGTCCATTTTAAATTTATGCACCTGAAACTGCTGTCACTGGGTGTCTAACAATTAAGTGTCTCCAGTGGATTATAGCATATGGTGTTGCTGAAATGTTCTCTTTCTGCGCGCACTCCTGATTGGACTTTCAGCTACTGTATTTAAGTGATCAGTTTATATGTAAGCACAGAACATTGTACAGAGCTGTAATAATTGTGTCAGGAAATCGGGGTACCAACCTGAAGCTTTGAATTAATCACATTTTAATTTTTGACAAGGTAGAAATGCTTTCTGTATTTAAGAAAAAAAAACACTTTTTTTTTTTTCTTGAGCAAAATCTTTTAAAGCAGAAACTTTCAGTGCAGACCTACAGGTTCTTTTATATGGAATTTGTATCAAAATCTATAAATATCTCTCCTAATCAAGAATCTACTCCAAGTGACCATCTTAAATATTAGGTTAGCTTCTGAAACATATACCTCTGTAAGGACAGCCATTCTCATTTGGAAAGTAAGTATCTTCAGTTCCCATTGTATTTGGTCAGCGTTTTTGGTTCAGGAATAGTAATTACTGAGAACAGCTTTCAGAAGTTAAAAGCTAGTATTCTGAACAGCTGGCAAAGATGCATTCATCATTTGATCACTGTTTGTTGTTTGCAGGATTGCTCGCTCTGCTCAACTTGTTCATTTGTTGTGCTTTTTAAATAAATCTCACTTGCATTGAGAACATCGATATATTTTGATTCAGATTTCCCACAATATCTTGGAATGGAAAATATGCTTGCCCCAGGCCTGAGAACGATCTCGCACATATTTTACCATTTAGAGAACATTCAAAACAAGTTACATTCAGAGCACAGAGCTGTAGAAACATATTTTTTAATGAATCTTGTGCCTAGCATTACGAAGTGACAAATTAAATACTCTGACATACAAACATTTCAGTATGCACTAACCATAAAAATAATCTGAGACAATAATGTTTATGAAGTTTCTATTCTGACATAAGAAACAAGGGAATTGTATGTCTGAATTTATAAGATCATGACTGAAGATGTTTGAGGGTTTTACCATTTTCATTTATTCATGTAGTTCCAAATAATACTAAAAATCTGCTAAACAGTAATTTAAAATCTAAAAATCTCCAGGCATTACCTGCTCATGAAAGTATGATTTTAAAGCAAAAGTTAACTTAGTTGTGCTAGAATTGTGTGTAGTATAATAAGCATCAATAAAATAATTCAATTACTAGTAATTTAAATCAGTACTTTAAAATGGTTAAACAACAAAGCATTTTTAGGGTCATATGGTTATGAACAATACCTCAAGCATTCTGTATGTTGAGATGCATTTTAGTTTTGGAATTTTATAAAGTAAAAAGCTCAAACTCTTTGTTAACAATTTTATCTATTTGGGAATATTTCCTTCTATGAATTAACGAATTTCCCCTTCATGAGGAAATAATACAAGAAAGTTTTAACTGACAGTAGTAGCTATTAATGTTTCAAAGTATTTAATGGGAAATGAGGCTTTTTTTCCCTTAAATTGAACAAAATACAGTTTTCCAAAAGCTTATCGAGATGATTCTTTCCAAGAGCAATTCTTCTATTCCTAGTGAGCGGCTGTTTCTCTAAAACTTTAAACAATTTAAAATTGAGAGTTGTCTTGAAATCACTCATTGATCTCTTTGAGAGCAGGCTCCTAGATGGACAAAGCACTATTTCAGCTTACTATTGCATCACAAAATCTAAAGTTTTAGTATATTTTCTTCACCACCTCTGAAACTATCAGGATATTTAAATGTAATGTAGCTGCATCTTTTTAAAACATTTTGCTAGATGTGTATTATTTTGAATGTATCTTGGCAAGTTGTTGATTTTTGTGTTCTTACTCATTTTCTGTTTTGCCCCTGAAAGCGATCTTCACATCTCACGAATGTTTTCTCTTGTGCTGGATAAAGGTGAAGGTTGTCAATGCTTTGAGAACAAAACGTCGCTCTAGAAAGAAAACACAGCACGTAAGCATAAAGTTACTTTTTAAGGCTACTATCTTTATAAAAGTGTGCTCTCTAGATACACTGAATCTGACTTTATCTTGTCTTTTACAGGAAGGTGTCTGTTTTCACGGGCTTGTGAGGAAAGAGATGTATCTGGCTACCAAATAGTAGGTGAGTAAAAGGGGCAGGCAACTGAGTGTATTATCCCTCTGTCTCTTTGTGGTGTCATACACGGCATGCTATTCTCCATCACATACCCGCACTTTTGTCTTTGTATTCTCGATGGCCATTGTTTCAACTCTTACTACCAGGGTTGCACTACTTGGCCTGCTAGCCCTTAGCTGGAGACTGGTATTTAGCTGAGGTCATTAAAATTTTGTTATGTAGGATGCTAAACCCACCAGCAACTCCATATGCTACAGAAATTTTTTCTATATATGGAACTCAAATATGTTAGAATCTGGTATTTTATTGCTCATAATTGTCTTTTATTAACTACTTTTTATGCCCTTATGTTGTGCCTAAGTGTTTCTCATTAGATAATCTAACAAAGGAAAAGTTATCATTCATATAAATTCTGCAACTGTTGTGAGGTAAAGGTATGTGGAGATAAAAGTCAACAGTTTGTTCAAATGCTTGAGAAAAGGACCAAACAGCTCAAAACACATCTTGTGTTTATTACCATTTTTCAGTATTGGATTTGCAAACTTCCTGTTTCTTTGATCCATTATGTTTGGTCTTTCCAAGAACATCAAAATCTACAGGCTCTTCTCTTTGAAGAAAATACTTTTCCTTAAATGTCCTTTACCCTTCCTTCTAGAATCACCTAATAATCTTTCATTTCCCCATCAAGCATTAATACAGTATTTCAACAGTAACACATCATTTCCATAACCATGACATGATTGCACAGAACAAACCCCAGAGGATTATCATAATCCATTAAAATCTCGACACAAACTCCCATTTATGCTTGCAGCAAAAAAAACTTGTAAGGAGCATTAGGTACCTCAAGATACTAGCATCATTTTTGTTAGTATAACAACTACCCGCCTCTCAGATACCTATTTCTTAGGATTTCTTACATAGTACATCAGCAGTAATTGGCTTGTGCCAGGTTATTGACACAGCTGTATTGCACAGGAGCTATCTGGTTAGAAAAATGAGTATACCTGACATAATCTTTCCACAGCCTTCATTCCCAAGGTACAAAAATGTGTAGTTAAAGAGCTCTCTGATTTGTGCTGTATACTACGCTATAATTTGCTCTAGCAGCTAGGTCAGTACTGATTTGGGATCATCACTTTTAAGAAGTAGCTTTTGATTGCAGGAGCATGTGCCAAGTGCTGCGTTAAGAAAATACCTACAAAATACAATTCCATGGGGACAAAATCCAGTAAAATGTGATCCTTTCTCTGCCTCTCACCACACACAGATTGTCTTACAAGAATGTCTCTTTCAATTGTTTGATTTGCCTTTTTTTTTCAGTATCAAGGAGATGCATCTCTGCCAATAAGTATTGTTCCACAGAAAGTCTTCAGTAGTAATAACTGGTGCTGGTAAGAAAGAGACTATAGCAAGGAAAAAAATCCCCTTCCAAGCCTGAGCCACAGTTACAAGGTAAGACATGCTTTTCTCATTAACCTTAATTAAACTGCTCAGTTAAAATTCTCCAAGGATTAAAGCAGTGGAAATCATTACAATTCTTGTTATTCTGTCTTCTGGCAGAAATTTCTTTGAGTGAATAAGCAAAAATGTTATTAGCGTTGCTGTACGTAGAGAACAGAGCCACTCAGACTTGGTGATACAGTTTCAAAGCAATCAGCAGGGGAAAAAGGAAAAACGAACACTACCACACACCCTCCCCACACACCCTCACACCCTACCCCCCCCCCCAAAAAAAACCCAAACAAGACACTAACTTGTTTGCATTCATATTTTTTTCTTCAGAAAGCTCATTTCTAGTGCTACTTCAGAGATCAGCTACCAAAAGTCACATCACTGAATTCACACTATTTAAAAAAGAACAACCAGAGTGCAAAAATTGGTGTCAAATGCCAGTGAAAGTATGATATGTACAAGTATGTACAGTCTTCTTGTTTTCGAGGACTGCTCACATTCTGCTCACCCACCACAGGAATTTCAAAATGTCTGTAGCTGAAGCTTTGCTTCCACAATGTATCATTTCAGGAACCTCTTACACAGCCTCCACGGTGTAGTAACTCCTTATCAGCTATCAGACACTGGACTGGCTCTTGTATGGATGAAGTAAAAATAAGGGAATTTTGAACCCTTAACTTCAATGAATAATGAGATAACTGTGTAGTTCTAGATTTGATATTTTAGTGAAAACTTTCAAGAATGGAGATGCTGAGTTTCTCTATTAATTACATACTGAAAGTCAAATAATTAAGATTTAGCATATTTTTTGTAAGTAGGAATTCAAATTTTTCATCACATTAATGTTGGAGCCAATATTTATCTTACAAAGTATCTTGTTTCTTTGAAATGTCATATGTTCCTTATGGAGCGAGATAATCACATTCTGAAAATAAGTCACAAATTGTTATCAGTTATTGTAATTAATTGTGTGGAAAAATTGCATTGCAGAACTTGTTAAAATTCTTCCTTGGATATGTATGCTGACTCCTCCATCTTCTATTCCCATGTATCAACAAAACCACCACTCAAGGCTACTGTGCCTTAAACTCAGATGGTGAGCCTGAACATTTCCTACTATTAATTTCTGACCTAAACCCAAAGTAATTATTTAATTCACTTGAAAATCATGCAGTCTGATAGGAGGGGGCAAAGTCAGTTATTGTACATGGATAAATTCACCATTGGTGAAGAGTGCTGGGACTTGGATGCTTGCATTTGAATGAAAATAACCTGTGTGCCAAATATCTGTGGTGTTATTTCAAATTGTACTTTCAGTACACTTACTTTTGCTGTGTTTCCCCTGCTTTCACTTTTATTGTCTTCACTATAAGGCCTGGTTGACGGGTGCCTTTTGTCCATGTCATTATGGTTTGAACTGTGTCCCAGAGATTTTCCCAAACTGCAGTTCCTTCCCATTTTAACTTGATCATTATTACCTCACCAATATCAGTGTCCAGGGTGATGAGAAAAGAGTAGGTTTTATTCCCATTTATACTTTCAGCTCTGCAGAAAACAAAACCAGAATAATGCTGTCTTAATTATTATGGTTAAAGTGAAAAAAAAACCCAAACAATTAGTTTGCTCTTCTCTTTAAAACCAAAGAAGGAACTATGTTTCCTCCTCCTTCTCCAAAAGGGACCCTTACTGTCTCTAGGATACTCTTCCTCCAGGTGCATAAAGTGGCAAAATATGGCAACATGCTGAAAAAGAAGTGAACAGCTGGAGAAGCCTGAACAGCTGGTGAAGCAGTTGGGGTTTCTGACAACAAAAGACAAGGTGTCCCATAATAGCATCTACGTTGTATCTTTTGTCTGCTAGAGCAAATTCTGACCCACTCTGTTGCCTTCGCTTCTGTTAATGCATATGGTGTCTATCATAAGAAATATCCAAAATTATTTACCTTAATTACAGCTGCTTATTTATTTGTGTTTTAGTTTATTAGATCTCCCTCTGTTACCCATGAGGTGGACCAGACATAAGTGGACAGGATACTTAGCATTCAGGGAAACTTCCAAGATTACTAAATTTGGTTTATAGAGATTTTTCGTGCAAAGCCAGTATGAACATTATAAAAGTTTGTGATTTTTAGGGAACATGGGTGAAGAGAAGACAATTTCCAGTTCACCTTCACTTACCTGTACTAAACCATTTCACACATAGCAATTTACATATGTGAGAGTGTAATAAATTGGCACCTTCTTTCTCACTTGCATAGTGATGTGTAATATCAATACTTACAGTGTGATGGGCAAGCTTTTAGCATCCTCCTTAGTGCCTGTCAGAGACATGGTAAAAGTTGGCTCTAAATGCTTGCCTGGGATTTCATTGATGAAGTGGATCTTGAACTGATAATGATAGACTGTAGAAAAGAAGAATTTGCAAAGTGATAAAATTAATAGTCAAAGAAGCAATAGATTTCTCAGGCAAAATAAAATTGGATTGATACTGTATTTTATTTTTTAGACAGATGTGTTGCAATCAAATCTTTTTTGTTGTTGTTGTTGTGATGGTTGCTGTGCTGTGTAATCCCTTGGAGTTTGGAGATCTGTTGCTCTATTTAAAAGGATGGAGAAAAAAAGGAAAAAGGTAACCTGGTTGAGTTGCCTTTGTAGATAAAACATTCTTCCATGGGAAATATTTCAGCTTTTCTTAAGTTTAGTTTTTAGAATTTCTGGCAAGCCCTCTATGTAATTACCAGACAAATTCTTATGACTGGACATAGCTAGAGATGTATGACACAGATTGATGAATTTACGCAATGTAGTCAGGCCTCTTCACTGATCAGCTGGAAAATTGTCCTGTGAAACAGATGACCCGCAAACTTTCTTTGACTGCATAATAATACATTGTGCTTAACATGCATATGTTAACAATGTGACTTTGTTCAAGCACATTACTGTAAGAAAGATATCATTAATACTTCGCGATTTGGTGGGTTTGTAGAAGAACAGTGTTTAGGGAAGTCTTTGAACTGAATATTGTCAGAATGAAGAATTAAATCTTCAGAGTACTGGCTGTGAGCAGCTTGACATCAGCAAATCATGAAAAAAACCAAACAAACCCCAACAACCAAATCCTAAGAGTTAGAGGCCATATGCACAGAGATATTATCAGCTAGATCTGAATGTTCAGAACTCTTCTGTCTGGTGATTCTAGCAGCCACCTTCTGACAAAACTGATAGATTTAGGTGTTAAGGAAGAAAACTTTAAGTAACTTCTATTAACAAAGATCACAGAGTATTTGAAAGAATTAAAGGTGCTTGCATTTATCCTTGCAATCTGATCAAATTACACATGGGAAACTGTCCTTGTAAAATATTATTGCACACTAGTTTTTGAGTAGAAAGATGCTCTTTGCTCATTTCCTCTCCTCACCCACTTCAGGCTTGGCTACATCTGAGAGTGGATCCACCATACTGCTGTCATCTTTTTATGTACGTGCACAGATCGATTTGTTTTGTGTGTGTGTAGCTCTCTGTTCACAATGGAAGGCATTTTCTGGAAAAGCTGTAACTTTTTGTGTTGTTTCCTAGTTAATGTATGTCAGTGAACAATGTATTTTCCCTAGAAAAGGTGCCAGAAAACAAAATGGCTGCTTCTTTGCTACAAACCTCATGAAGACAAAGCAGGCAGAGGCTTGTTTATAGTCACTTTTATTACTAAACTGTCTTGAATTTTCCCTCAATGTAAAAACTGATTATTCTAGTGTATATTCTGATAAAGCCCAGGCTTTTACTGTGGTTATGACACTCACTTTAGGGGGAAAAAGGAGAGCGTATTCACATAAAAACTCTGACTCAGGGTCCCATCAGAGCTTTATTATAAATGTTAACTTCTTTGTAACAAATGTTTTTTGTTTGAACTGGATTAAAGTGCATTCCAGAATATAATGCCATTAACTTGAAAAATGAAACACCAGATTTTGTGAGGGCGCGGAGCACTGTGAAGGATAATGCTGATTTTTCTGAAATTTCTTCTGTTTGGGCTTTTCACGTGATCTTCAAACCTATTTTTTTTTTTTAAGAGTATTACAAAGATGACTTTGTCTGCACCCTCCCACAGTTGCCGCCTTGTTTGGGAACCTTTGTGAAAGGAGACTATTGTCTGGAGCACCACTATCTGTGTATGCAGCAAGGATGGTTTTTTGAAGCAAAACAGTTCCAGGCATCAAAATGCAACATGTTTAAATTGAAATCAAAGCCAACAAGACACAGATATTTTACCACAAGCTGAAACTATCTCCACATCCAAAGAACGCACTATAGGGATCGTGTTTCTGTGCGCAGGCGTGGTGCCCTCAGAGCAACTCACCTTCCTCATTCTGAGGGTGACCTGACTGTACTGCAGCAAAGTCACACTGGGAGCTAGGCACAGCCTATGGCATCTTAAAATGTACTTAAAGTCGCTTCCTGAAGCATTTTTAAAAGTATAAGATGAGATCCAGCAGATTCAGCTGCTTTGAGTATCCTTGAGGGCTGAGGAGACCCCTCTGGAGTCATCACTTGAGTACTTCACAGCTGCATTAGTGGAAGACGTCAAAATTATTTTAAAAGTACCTGAATTCATGTGGGTTTTTTAATCTGTGCTATCGCAGCTGAGTACCAGGCACTGCGAGGAGACGAGATGTGTAATGCAAGCAACATTTATAAGCGCTTTTCCCCAGGACCGGGAAGCCCCTCAGTGTCCGTGCCGGGGCGCACTGCTGACATTCCAAATGCTTCCCCAAGCCCAGCATCTTGGGTAAGGGACAAGCGGGCTGACCCGCGCTGAGAGGAGAGAAACACCCACTTTCTGGCTGTGGCAGGCACAACAGGCCAGGGAGTGCAGTGGTGCGGGGCCTCCATGGCTGCTGGGGGAGCCTGGGGGCAGGCAGGGCCGTGGCGCTGCCGCGCTGAGGCGAGCGTAGGGCTGTGGTGCAGTGTGTGCCTGCGGGCGCAGGGAGGAGGTGGGAGCTGCTCACAAGCCCTGAGCGGGGCCGCTGCCTGGGCTGTGCCCTGCGCTGCTCGCCGTGTGCCGCCTCGGGAGCCGGGGAAGGAGGTGGTGAGGAGGAGCAGCATGCAGCAGAAGTACCTGCACTGAAAGCCCCTTGGAAGAAGTCCCTGCCATTCGTCCCGCACAGTCCTGCTTGTTCTTGCTTGAAATGCACGCAGAGCTTTCCACTAGGAGGTGAATATTTGCTCGTCAGCAGCAGTTGTTTTCAGTCTCTGACAGCTGAGGCGCAATCAGCCTACAGCCAGGCCTGCACCATTTTGAGGCAGACAGGCCTCATTTCCCTGTCACCGTGCTTCCCTTCTGGTAATATGTGCAGGAAGCCACACTGATGGTCTCTCTGAACTTTGAAAGTTATCATTTTGTGCTCTTGATAAAGTAATTTAATGGACTTCAGGTCACAGTTTTAGTGCTACTGTTCTGCCCTGTAAAAGTCCATGTTGTTCTGTTTTCTGTCCATTGTTTCAAAAGTAATATGTCACCTTGTAGGCTAATTGCAGATAAAATTTGGGCATACTTGGAACAGGCTGGTTTAGAGGCCTCCCAAAGCAATCCTGCTCCTTTTTTGGCTTGGCTGTATGCCTGCATATCTGATCACAAATTCACACAGGCCAGTTGCAGGAAGATCCTGTAGATCAGGACCCAAAGCATCCCCGAGGCCTCAGATCCACAGTTAGCCAGCCTGTGGCAAGTATGCAGCACGCTTTTCCCCACAGAAACATTGTCAGGATCTTGATGAAAGGGCATCAACATGGCCTATGGGGATCCTTAGTTATCTCAGCAAATTTATTATTCCCATGGATTTTTATAAGCTTTAATAAATGAGTAAACAGGATCCCAAAGCTTAGCCTCATTTTCACACTCTGTGATTGATCTGGACACTGTAACAAGTATTCCCACAAACCTTTGAAAGGCATACGAGCTCTTGTTTTCAGAAAGAGACGTCTGCTTTTTGGGAGCCGTTCCTCCCTGATGTTGTAGCCCAGTGTGTTGCACCGGTTCTTTCTACAGCTGAGACACATTCCCTTGTTGAAAGTGTTGATGTCGTTGCACCAGTACGCTGTGCTCTGCTTGTCATTGTGAAGCAGAGAGTCGATGAACAAATGAACTGACCTCTCATGAGCACATTTCACAGTTTGAGCAATGCCTGAAAAAATGCAAACAACAAAATTTTTCATGCCCTTGTGCCTCTTTCCTCTTCCTTGTTCCCACGTTTCAACTGCAGAGAAGTACAGTAACCAGCTGTAAGCAATACGTTATTGTTCCCCCCATGCCCTTTTACTACCCTTCACATAATTATTTTTTCCTTCTCCCCAGCCCCCACCCCTTTACATCAAGATTTTGCCTCAGAAATCGTAGATTGTAGCAACTTTACTTTTAGGATCATTAAAAAATAGTTTGGCTGAAGCCACCTGGTAATAAAATTGAATAATTTGCTTAAACTTCTCTAGCCTGTTTAAGACTGTAAATATGAACCTTGATTTCATTGTCCTGGCTGTTATAGTCAATATGAAATACAATTTAAGGCTGTATACAGTCTTTCAGATCATGCCACATTAGAGGCAGCAGTCACATTCTGAATGGTTGAACAGTGTTGTCTGTTGGATGCTTACCCACTAATGTCATCTTTTGTCCCTATCAGAGTGACAAACTCTCATGTTGAATTCTGTTTTCAGCAACTACTGAGGGGAAATGACCAAAAAAAAGTATTAAAACCATTATTAAATACATAGATCTGATTTTATGAGAGGTAACTTTTTCTTCTGTGTCATCGAATTACGAAAGTTTCCTCCTGTGTAATTAAGATACATCATGATGGGCTGTTTTTATGTGTTTTCACTGATAAACTTTCTAACTGATGCTTGGTTTCACATTTGTTATGAATTAGGTGCTATCAAGTCTACTCTTAGGCAGTGTGTTGATAGTTGCATCAGTACCTTTTTCAGTATGTTGTATCAGTTTCTCTATATGTTTATGTTTAGGTACATTGGAAATAAACTTCAATATATAAAACCCAGCCTCAAACACTGGCAATCAAGTCCTAGAGAAAGCCTCATCTGTGCACCTGAAGGACATGGAGTTGGGAAAAGGTGAACTAAGGAGGTGAGTAGTACAGCCCTGTGTTTTATTTGATTTGAAATAATTAATTACACACTAGATTAATCTGGCTTAATTAGAATAATTTTTCTCATTTCCTCTACTGCTAAAACAAATACCTTTGAAATTATTCAGAAGTGCTTGACAGCAGGATGCTTGTGGCCTCATTTTCTGAAGTGCTAGGCAGCCAAATTCGTTACTGGAGTCAGTAAGAACAGTTTGAACTCAATACATGTAAAAATCAGATAACCAAATTTTAGAAAAGAAATTTCTTGCATATAATGGAAGGTAATACTCTCACTAGATACTGTTTAAGACCATAGAGATCTGTAAAGTTTCCCAAAGATACCCTCAGTGCAGCTGCAATGCTTCTTCCCATTTTGTGCCATTGGTTCTTACCAGTGATTCCGTATTCTGCAATGTGGTTATACACATGCATGATGTGACAGCCAGGCTGAAAGGTGCCTCCATTGGGGTAAAAGTCGAAATGAGCCACAGGCTGCTTGATGCCAACACTGAGACCCATGTGCTGTTTAGTGAATGTATGAATCGCGTCTACAAAGTTTGCATCATCTGGAGATAACCGGTCTGTTGGTGACATGCCTTCAAACAAGGGACCAGCGGGGTCAAGGCCTGCAATAAATGCAAATAATCCAGTTGTGATGTAGTGCAGGTAGGCTGTTCTTTTACTGTTATGAGAAAATTTTGTGGTAAGTGTTTAAAAAAAGACAGCACTGGTACTTTACAAGGTCTTTCACCATAGAAACAATGCCAGGAACACTTGTGCAGAGGGTACAAGATCACACCAAAAGGTAAACACAGGCGCTGTAATAAGCAGTAACTGCTGCATGCACAAGGACACAGACCCAGAGATCGATTTGTTTGTTATAGACGAACCATGCTGCTCCTGCTTTATTACCTGAGGGATGTTTACTTAATTTTGTTTTCATACTCTAGAGGTCATGCATTTCAGAGGCCCTTTTGAAGATACCAGTCCCACAAGGATGACTTTTAGCCCACATTTAGGACCTGAAACTTTATAAAGCTTCACTTATTGCTTGAGAGACTGTATGTCTGCTAGACATTTTTTCTAATAATTGTTCAGCTTAAAAGCCTTCAAAGCAAATTATTGCAGTATTTAGAAAAATAATATACCACTGAGGGAAGTCATACTGACTTCCGGTGTACAAGATGTTTTTGCATGGTGCTCTTTTTTGTTGGGAACTGATTTATGGAGAAAGACTGCCTGCATAGCTTAAAGCTGCCCTCAGTTTTGAGAACAAGCTTCTAAAGTTGGTATTATGGACTAACGTAGTTGCATAGACGTAACTGGACAAGACTATTAATGCAGGCTACAAGCAGGCATGTCACCCTCAAGGCATGCAATTAGTTTTATTTTTAATTGCTTTTACACTATGAAATATTCAAGCTTATTGTTACAAGTCTGAGTAATTTGCACTGAAGAATGCATATAGGCGTTACACAAAATACGTTTTAATGTGGTTAAATGTTTTCTACTTATTATCGAGGTTTGATATACTAATATGCTTTGAACAAGCAGCACTGATGAACTGAAATCCTTCAGTGTGCACACAGGTGTAGTATACCACATAGTGTAAAATCAGCTTCTTGGCATGCAGGCACTGTCAACAAGAGCTGTTGTATAAGGAACTGTGATATGTGGCAATGAATCCACGATCAGAATTGGAACTTCAAACTAGTCATGTGTATTTGCCTGTGTGAAAACAATCAAGTGCTAACTTTGTTTAATTTAAGCCTCTATTAGGGATACAACATATGGTGATACTTCATTTTGAAAAGTGTTTAATTAAATTTCCTAATTCTTAATTTCTAACACAGTGGGTTGAATCTTCTAAACTGTGGCAAATATTGCTATTCAACAGCTAAATTTTGATATGATATTGATACATCAAATATCTGTGTAACTTAAATCCACTGACTGTTACATTTCTTAAAATTATGTCTCTTACCTGTAATTCTTCCAATCTTGTTCGTACCACTGATAAAACTTCCAGCAAATCCTGAAACATGAGCTCCTAGGCTGTACCCAATCAGATGAGCATTGCTTCTGGAAAATTGAATGGATTCCTGGAAGACAGTGGCAGCTTGATTTAGATGCAGAAAATGTGAAATGTAGACAGTGAAATACTTTACTACAAGCTAGGAATACCATGAATTACAGCACAGGAAACGTGTATGCTCATGATGGAAGTCAAATGAGGTGTGTGGATCATGCCTTGAATCTTTCCCGTCTGAATGTTATTCCTTGCCTCCTTTTCATGCAGCAGGAAAACACCACACATTTGAGCACTGCTACTACTATCTAGATCTTAAGCATTTCATGTGAGCTGCAAGGCTCAAAGTTTTTCTGACTTGTAGAGAATTCCCCTACTAACTCTTGGAGTAAGAGCACTGAGATTTAGTTTGATTTTATTCTTTATTAAAATGTTGCACAGCACTGCAGTTTTTGTTACAGCCACTGAGGATATTCCAAATTCTCGCCAGCCTGTAAGCAGACAGAAGCATAACTATCTAGTTAGGACAGTTAGAATGAAGAGGTTTTTCACTGGTAAACTCAGGAGGAGTGCTTTTCAACAGAAGGAAGGTGTACAGCTTGAACGCACTCAGTTGAATGATGTGAAAATTTGTGGTATATTTAAATCCTAGAGCATGCTGTGGTACAAGAGAAGCTACCTACAGTGCTGGAGCAAGGAACTGTTTATTCAGACCTCGATTTGTTTGCTGACAGTGGAGAAATTACAGACTGTCTTTAATTGTTGACAACGTGGTGTGTCCTCCTGGGAACTGGACAAAGTCCACCATTTCATTCATTCAATAATTAAACAGCTTCAAAATATGACTTTAGGCTCAACTTAAACTACATTTGACCAAGAGCTAAGGTTTGTTTTAATGCCACAACAAAGAAATAGTGACTCTGGCTCTTCTGCCTTCTCTTCTGTGCCTGTTGTCCCTAGCTGGGCATGGTACCTGACAGCTTCTTCTAGCCATTCCTTTTGAAAGCAGCTTAGCCATTCAACAGTATTTGCTACAAATCTTTTGGCTTTGCAGTGTATTTCCCTTTCACCTTAGGCCTCACCATATTCAAATTAATGTATTAAAAAAATCATTGTGAGGTCCAGAGGTATAATTTAATTCCAAATTAGGTAACTTAAATTAGTACTGGAGATAAAGGAAATAAGAGTTGCCTGGTTTGTATGAGTGATTCTCATTCTAGTGTTTGCTTTCTGCGTTTTCTTGAATAGTGCTGGAGACCAGCGATGCCTTGCAGACTTGTCTGCAGCCTTTTCAATCTAGCCATGGCAACTGCTCCTTATGTAGTAGTTTTGATAGGAGTCACTATGTTAACATGGCCCTATACTTGCTGCTGCTTCCCTGTCATCTTGTTTGTATGGCATGTCTGTCTGCTTGAAAGATCTCCCTTTACGTTCTGGATCTCTAATTATTTTAGAATAATCTTTGAGGAGCTGAGGCAAAAATCAGACACAATGGCATTCTTGAATTCTGCATTAAAAGCAGAAGATAAAAGCATAAAGATAAAAGATAACATGCCCCATTTTACTGAATAACCACTTCCAAATGATTATGTGTGTATGCTTTCACAGTGTGGGACTCTCAGCTGTCTGGACACATGCTAACTGAAAAGCTAAAATAGCATGAAGCTTTTTCACCTCTAAAGATATATAAAAAAGTAATAAGCAAGAGCACTTGCTTTTTTTTTCTCCTGCATAATGGAAGTTTTATGAAGTCGTGAAAGTTTATGGAAGAAAAACTTTCAATGTATTAAAGAAATATAAGGTATTGAAAAGAATATCATTAATCAGCATAGTATTTCAGAAAGGTGGCAGAAGCATAAGAACAGATAAATAGGCCTTTTCCAGAGAAACATGGGTGGCTCTTACCTCCAGCCATTCCAGGAAGTTGGCTATCTCCTGCCCTATGTAGCGTGTATTCTGTACAGCAATGGGGTAGTGCTGGTGAGCAGATACAAGCCAGTCTGCAACGATCACATTAATTTGTTTTTGCTGAGACTTCAGAGCTGCTGCCATTTTCCAAATCCAACTTTCTAATATTCCATCCACCTGTTTTATTAAAAAAAGAACAAAAAGCACCTATTCTTACTGTAAAGCAGTCTCTGCCAAATAGTTCTTGTTAAAAGCTCAAGGAAACAAAAACCGTAATATAAAGGAGGGTGTGTGCTGATAACTAGATTTTGGCAGCTACAGCATGCTTCAGTGCTGAGAGTCTTTAGATTTTAGTGGAAAAAAAAAAAAAAAAAGAATATAAGTGTATAATAATTTGTCTTGTAATATGAACTGTTATCGGTGATGACCCAGAATATTTACAGTCATCCTGAGATCATTGGTATTGCTGATTTACTGATTAAAAAGAAAGACAGAAATGCCCAGAAAATTTCTGATTTCATTCAAGAACAGATGTCCTCTGTATGTTTAAATTAAAAGGCTTGGAGAAGGAGGGAACCTGGAGGATTGCAGACCAGCAGGCATTTACTTCTACAGCCATTCCATTCTGAGGTTTGGTGGACCAGAATTATTCAGAATTCATAGAATCATAGAATAGTTAGGGTTGGAAAGGACCTTAAGATAATCCAGTTCCAATCCCCTGCCATGGACAGGGACTCTTCACACTAGACCATGTTGCCCAAAGCTTTGTTTAAGCCTGGCCTTGAAGACTGCCAGGAATGGAGCATCTACCACTTCTTTGGACAACTTGTTCCAGTGGCTTACCACCCTCACAGTGAAGAACTTTTCGTTTACATTTAACGTAAACTTCCCATTTAAGTTTAAACCCATTACCCCTTGTCCTATCACCTACAGTCCCTGATGATTGCTCTTGCATCAATTTCCTCAACTGATAGAACATCCTTATCTCTTCTGGTGTTTTAACAGAATTTGGGAGTTGCACTTCTAGGTCTCCATGCATGTTCCTCTTAAGAGCCCGACATGTCTGCAAACTAAGTTAATGTGAATGGCAGCAGCTGCAGTCATGTACATGTTTTTTGTCTTTGAGGAGGGTCTAGATTTTGAACAAATTCTGTTTTGGGAAATTTGGCTAAAGTAATCTAGGGCAATATTTCATCCAAAGTCAGCTCTGCTGGTTTTTTGTCAGGGAAGTTCTATGCATCAAGGGTGTTTTCCAAAGTTTCTTTGTGTATTTGCAGATGTTCAAAAAAAAGATCCATTTTGCTTCCTTGTTGTGATGGCATGGGTTCTACGAGAATCAAGGATCTGTTTAAATGATGTTATTTCTTATCCTGCCTTTTGTTTCAGCAGCCGAGAAGCAGCTGATCAAAGGTCCCATTAGTACAGCAGTGCTAATGCTAGGCTTTTGAGAAAGGTTTTCATGGGGGAATTTTTTCTTTGTTACAGTTTAACTGGAAGCAGTTCAGTGATAATTCATTGACAACGAAGGCTTCATTTTCAGCTGAAGGGGCTTAGTGAGAAGCTCTCTTTAAAGGTGTATCTGTGAGAAAGATATGGGGAGATTGTGTGCACTTTCCACTAAGTGTGTAAATGTATGGCAGTGAACATACCAGAGAAATGAATCTGATATTTAGTTCTCTAGAAGCGTAGCACGTTAATTCAGCTTGTTTGAACTCTCCGATTTAAATCGCGGCTGACCCTAATTCTTGGCATGGGACTCCCATAAGAAAAATTGCCTGTAGATTTCCTTCAGAATCGTGGGAAATATCCTCTTTATATTATTTCTAGCTATGTTTTCTACCAGGGGAATCCATCTTTCTAATCACAAGCTTTCTTCTGAAGTTACTTTTGGCAGAAGCATGAAGAGAAGGAAAGTATATCAAGTCACATGTAGTTTGAATTAAACATAAAATGTGAGTTCATACCGACCAGCCATGGACTATTATCACCAGAGGAAGAGAGGCATTGAAACTGCATTTATCAAGAGTCTCCAACTGATTATAAAAAATCCTACAGTCTTCTTTAGTTGCATCTGTATAGAGTCGAAATTTGGTTGCAAAGTTTTGGTGGTCTTTCTTTGTCCTAGTGTGCTGACTCTGCGATTCCTGTGCCTCTGAAATGAGATTTGTAAGGATGGAAGAAGTTACTAGTGAAACAGAGTTTATAAGACAGAGTAAACTAGTAAGACTGGAACTTTAGCTGTGTATAATTGCTGCCTACTCCAGGTGAGCCTAAGCTGTACATTTTGGGTCTAACTAGTGGTTTCTTTCAAAATTTGAGATGGTCTAAATGTGCCTCCAAGTCCATCTATTTGAGCAGTAACAATTACACAGGAAATCTTGATCTCATTACTATGTGCCCTTATAGAATGCATAAGTATTTTAAGAACCCAGCACAGGTGTTGTGACTTTACAATGTTAGTGCTTGCACAGGCAAGCACATTTATAGTTATTAACTCTGCAGGGCATATCTTACTAATGTGCATTTGCTAGTAATTGTTGAGCAAGCTTCATTACACTAAAATAACCATTTTATTCTGGGTTATAACTCTGCTTGGAAACTTAGGTTACTGCTTAAAATGACATAACACATAATACATGATTCTTTTTCTCTAAAAAGGCGAGATGAAATGGTCTTGTTCCAGTTGAAGTGTTTTTGGTGGTTTTGTTTTTAGATGAAATAGCTTGGTACATATAGGATAGCATTTTTGGAAATGTCTGTTAACTACCTGGGATGCTGTCTGTATTTAAGAAAGTGGGGGCAAAGTGAACTGTGTTTCATCAACATTATGAGCTTAGAAGGAAAAACATATAAATGTAGAGAAATTGTTTGAGTAAAGGAAAAAGAAGTAAAATAAAGCAGAAGCTTACAAAAACACATTGTGACATGCAGGCCTGGTGTTTCATTCTAGTAAGACTTCATACTCTTTTAGTTATCTGAAAATTATGTAATGAATTATTCCTAAACTACAAAAAAAATGGACATTAGTAGAAAAAAAGTCAAGTTTTCATGGACTGGGAAAATGAGAGGTTACAGTTGTTTGTGTTGGAAAAGAAACTTTGAGTGGAGAGAGTTTGCTAATGGAGTTCCTTGGCAACTGTTTTTTGGCTAATCTTGTTTTCTTGTTTTCATTAAAGAAGCAGGAAATATAAAAGACTGTCAAAATTTGGGAGATATTTGCTAATACTGCAGAGAGCAAAATGTTAAACACTATGAGCTAGATCACCTTGAATATATGACAACAGAACCAGGTAGAGATCTTCTACTATGAAGTGCAAAGTCATGCAGTTGATAGCAATTTCTTTAAAAATGGGGCTTATAAATTGGAAGTGACATAAGGGGAAAAACACTTGACTGTAGTAATCCATAACAAAACTGAGTCTCTGCTGTGATTTGGGTGTGAGAAAGGAAAATATAATCCCAGGATGCACCAAGGAAGATGTTGTGGGTAGGAAGAGAGGATGTTTAGTACTAGTAAGTTATTATTAACAACATACAGAGCAGTGTGTATAGTATTTTATTCACTGAGAAAGAAGTTAAATTATGTGTGTTGGACAGAACTCATATTAGTTAAATTTTAGTTCTTGATTTTTTCCTGCATGAAAGTGCCTTAATACACCATTAGTATTAGAAATACTGTATTTTGTCTTCTAAGTCAGCACATTTAATTTCTTTTGTACATCACAACTCATGTCTGGAGGTGCTTTCAGAAACCATCTAAAATCATAGCATGTTTATTTCTATATTCTATCTGGAAATGTATGCTGAGGTTCTCTGAAGTTGTCTTGATAGGAATTTGATAATTTATGAGGTACTTCTGATGCATTTATAGATGAGCCTTTATCCTGCAAGCAATTTTGGTGATGGGAAACTCCCATACTCATATATGTGCAGTAGTAGCATGTTACAATGCACAGTACAAGGAATCCTAATGTGAAAGCATGCTGGATTTAGATCAGACTATTTTTGTCACATGTCAGTCTTGTTAGAAATTTTATTCAGGGTTTTATTTTAGTATAATGATATGACATGATACAAACAGCACATTTAATTTGGTTAAGTGAATGGCAATTCTGGCAAGAAAACTCCCAAGCTGAACTGCCCTGGATGTGCACTGTTTTCTCTTTGTCCCTAATTATTGTACATTCCAAATAACTCCAGGCAGTGTTATGTTTCCTGGCTGGGAAACATTATTGTATAAAGTTGTTCAGTCTTTTATGAGAGCTGGAATTTCATAAGCTTCAAAGATAGATCGTGAAGGTTTAATTGTCAGAATTCTTACCTTTGATGTCTCACATTTTTTGTAATGACACTTTTAACTGTGGTAGCTGACTAGGACTAAGTCTGATCATTTCTCTGTTACAATGTCTGTTTAACAGCATTTCTGTTCGATTTTTTTTGCTGGGAGTAGACTCAGTTTCTGAAGAAAGTAATATTAGGAGAAAGTGAATCTAGGTAAAGAACTGAAAATTAGAGTTCTAATTACAGTGATATTCTCTACCTCTGTTATTTTCAGGCTTTGGGGGATACTCCTTACACAAAGATGAGTATTGTGCTCTATATTTAGCACAAAGAAAAACAAACTTGTGCCTGTTATTGTACACATCCTTTCTTTGTTTTATGCCTTGTTTTAATTTTCCTTTCGCTCTGTTTCTGCAAAGCAAAGGCGCTTTGTCACTTTCCGTATTGTTTGGGCATACTACAGAAAGCAAGTCTAATAAATAGCTTTTTTCTTTATACATGGACTGTGAAACTGCTGTGGTGCTTTAATGAGTGAGCTTTTGGCTTGCTAGTAAGTCTGAGATTAAAAATACAGTTTGAACTTCTTCAAGGCTGTCAAAAATTAAAAGTTCCAACAGAATCTGTTGTGTTACTAGACAAAACTGCTTCAATCTGTTAATCCATGTGATGACTTGGAGAAGAAAATAGTCTGAAGAGTTTGGCTTCTACAACAGACTTCTGCTAAAAATGCCGTACCAGTGACTCAGTGACATGATTGAAGGGAACTACAAAGTTTCATAGGTTGGCTTACAAAAACAACAACATAGAACTGCTAAAAATTTTCCTGTGCTAACTAGCTAAGAGGGCCAAGATCTTCCTGAAACTTAGAAAGTTTCTCTTTGAAAAATTAGCCCTTACTCAGGTGAGTTGCTGACTTAATTTAGTTAAGGGAAGAGTGACTTGAGTGTCATCTGCATGAATTTGTGCAAAGCGTTTGACTCTGTCCCGCACAAAATCATTGTCTCTAAACTAGAGAGGCATGGATCTGATGGATGGACCACTTGGCTGGATGGTCACCCTCAGAGTTGTGGTCAATGAATCGATCTCTAAATGCAGACCAGTGACAAGTGGTGATCCTCAGGGATCAGTGTTGAGACCAGCATTATTCAACGTCTTTGTCGGTGACATGGATGATGGAGTTGAGTGCACCTTCAGCAAACTTGCTGATGACACCAAGCTGTGTGGTGTAGTCAGGACCAGGACACTGGACAGGGTTTGAAACCGGGAAATATCATAATGTAGGGGGGAGGGGAGGGATCCAGAATCTAAATGAATTTCTTTCAATAGCATGTCTGGACATAATAATACAATTACAAAATATCTGCTTCACACCACAGAATTTGCTTAAAGGTGTCGGGAATGAGGACAAAGTAGGGTAGGACTGTATAAGGTGAAGAGCAAAATTTTAATATTGAAAGTCATACATTTTAAATTCGGCTTATGGTAAAGCATAAAAACTGATTAGAATTGACATTCCCAGTTAAGGAAAGTAGCTTTTCTGGTGAAGAAAACTGATGTTCAGCATCCTTCTTCCTGTCATGGAATCCTACGGGAAGAGTTTCTCAACAAGGTATCACTGAAGAGTGTTAAAGAGGAGGTTTCAGTGACACTCACCTAATCCATAGGCAATTGAAAAATTCTGAATGGCAGCTGAATTTTGCATTGCTGGTATGTTAAGTTTACTTAAAAAGTCATACGCATGAGCATGTGAATACACACCCCTCTGCCTACTCACAGCACGTTTTTTCTAATTGCCTTTTCACTCTTACTGCAGCATCCATTCATGTCATGAGTGGATTTGTCTGAGCTTCAGTATCTTTTGGATGGTTTTTACTGCTTTTCATTCATGTAAATGTTTTCAGAAGAGTGCTTACGTATTGTCTTGTTATTTTAGTGTGACCAGTATCCAACTGGTCACATTCAAGGAAGAAATGACAACTTTTTGTGGTCTCCAGAATTAGAGAATTCTGTTGTGAAATTGAGCAAAGGTACTGATGTGTTAATAGTTTTTGTTTGGGCCATGAAAAGTGACCACAGATCCATTCAATTCCATAGGGGGAATTGAATTCTGAGGGGTTCTAGGAGGGTTTTATCAGTTAAAAAAAAAGAGCAAATGACATGGGAGTGTTCAGGGTTCTTAATCTGACAAATGCTTCCCTTAGCGCTATTCTTGCTTGAAGCATAGTTGTTGGTGTTCATGTTGGATACGGAATATCCTCTTCAGTAACCCCTCTTATTTTATTTTCTAGTGCCTGTCGTAACTTCCAGACTGTGTGCTTACTAGGGAAAGCCATTTGCTGCAACTGACACAAAATGACACAAAGAAATAGTAGACTACAAGAATACACATTGTAATGGACTCCTAAATCTAAAAATCCTACAAAATTTAAGCACTAGTGTGTAAAATGTAGATAAATTGTATGTTTTAGTTGCTTGATGTTTACCTGAACATTTTATAAGCTGCTATAGGCAATAATTTTTGTATAATAGCAGGCACAAAATCAGGATCAGAATTCTGCTATTTAAAATGTATCCAATGAAAACGATGATGGGAATGGACTGGAAACATTGGGCTGGCATTTGTTTGCTTTTATATTACTGATTTACAGCACTACCTTCAAGCAGGGTGTGGTCCATTCTCTATTTTATTGAGACTAGTTATTTAAGGTACTTACATGTAAGCTGATTTTTGTTGTTTATGCCAGTTGAAGGCTTTTGTATGCCATTGGCTGACAGTTGAAAGCTTCATCTCATGTAGTTCCTGAGTGAGTACTCTAAACCTGTGTGATTGGGGGGGTGGGTTGGGGGAGGGAATTCTGGGTCTTTGATTGC